GTTTCTATATAATTACTTATATAAATTACCTAATAAAGATACGAGCAAGGCCTCACCTTAACACCAAAAAAAAAAAATAATAATAATAATCTTTTTACAATTGTTAAAGAATATAAATTTAAAGATATAGAGATTATCTTAATAATAGAGCAAAAGTATTTTTAGCTAATACTATTAAAAATAGAATTATATCAAAGTTTGAAATTAAACAAGAAGAAATCAAAGATAAATTACAAATATATTTTAATTTTAAATTTTAATTTATTTTATTATTAAATAAGGCCAAACAAATTTAATTACTTGGTTTTCATAACATGAAAATTTAAAAATAAACCCGGCCGGCCAGTTTTTTTTTAAAATTTTATATATAAAATTTTATAAAAATTTTTTTTCAAAACCTACCCAGTTATTAAAACATATAAAAATTTTTTTTAGAAGTTTTCAAATTTTGACCCGGCCGGGTTATCAAAACTAATTAATTAATTTTACATAGCCTAATTAATTAAATTAAATTTTTTAAAATTTATCTTATAAAATTTTCTTAACTCTTGATATTTGGACTTCTTCAGTTCAAGATTTATTTTTGGGAATTACTGCTTATTAGATAGACAAAAATTAGAAAATAAATTAAATTACAATTAAATTTGTCAAACTAGAAGCCATACATTTAGAAGAAAACATAGGATGGGTAACTTGGTATGTTGATTTAAATTCAACTTGCTTATTCTAGCTGTGTTTTTGCTGAATTATTAATATATTTATAATAATCATGTTATATAAATATTTTAATCTAGTATTTTGATCAAGTTATTTTAGTTAGGTCTTTTTTTTTATAATTGATTTATATGTTTTACTAGGTAGATAACTTGGTATATTAATTTAAATTCAACTTGCTTATTCTAGTTGTGTTCGCTAAATTATCAATATACGTGTAGAACCCAGGCGGACTACTTAAATTAGATACCCAAAAGGTGTACGTGTGGCTAGTTGTATCCTCGTGAATCTGATGTATATCGTAACTATCCGAAATAAAGCTCATGCCAATGGCCTAAGTGGTCACCTTTAATATTAAAAAAAAAAAAAAAAAATTATCAATATACTTATCTCTTATTCTGTAGAGTTTAACAGACAAATTTGTCTGCATAATTACTATAAATATATAGAGTGAAGTCAATAGAAAAGAGACAAATTTTTTCTAAATAAAAGTTTTCTTGATTTTAAGCTTAATTGCAGATCCGCATGTGATTAATAGAAATTATATAGTAAATTATGGCGCTATGTTAATTAATAAAAAGTTTTTTATTTGAAATCTCTATTTCTTTAAGTAATTAAAATAACAAATATTCATATAACACCTGGAGAACTTATTGCAACTGGCACTATTGAGTCAGAACTTCACTATGGACCATATTTACGTGATTGATGGGTTTTTTCTAAAGAAAATCATAATCATATACCATATCCAATTCCAATATGATTAGAACTTAAAATTATGATACATCTTAATAAAATACCTTTTATTATTCATGTAGTTCATTATATATATAGTCCTTTACGACCTGGTTATATATGTGAAGGTGGAGGACAAAGTAGTGATATTGTTACAAGTTCTTCTCAGGCAATTACTTCAGTTTATCAAGCCGTTTTTGGCACTAAAACAAAAATTGCAGGCCTTTTATATTTAGGTTTAGAACAAACCCAAACATTTCAAAAATTATTAGAAGGCATTATATTTTGTCCTTTTATTATTGAAATAGAAAATTTGTCAATTTTTGTTGGTTCTTTGGGTAAAATTACACATTCGAATCACAATATAGTTGGACACAATTATATATCATTATTTTTTTATAAATATAAAGCAAAGCAATCAGTTTTTTTTCAAAGTATTAAGGATGATAATTTGTTCTCAATTGTAATTTACCAAAATAGTCAAATTGTTGCAGAATATAAAAATAATTCCCCCAATACAGTTTGGCAACAAACTGGAATTCTTAAATCTATCTTAGGTGATACTTTATTTGCTATAAATCACTTAATAGTCTTACAAAAATTAGACGAAGCATATAACACTAAGTTTTCTCATCAAACATTAATATCAGATAAATGTACACTTACAGATTGGAATAACAAAACAATTATGAGACATTTATTTGATCTATATTTAAAAAAAGCTGTTAGTAAATCTGCTGAAGAATGGTATAAAATCTTTCAAAATTGGAAACAACAGAAAAGCAATATTATTGAATTATATACTCATTTTAGTAAGGTATATGGATCAAATTATGAGTTTCGGAAACGTGAAGTGCGAGCATGGCGCGCAATATTTTGTGCAACAGGATGTACGGAGATTACACCATATGATAAACAAATTTCTAAAGTAATTATAAAAAAAAAATCAAAATTTCATATAATATTAGTATAATCCATGAACTAAACAATCTAATTGAACAAATAATTATTGTCCGAAGCGTAGCGAGGACTCTATGGTAGAGCAATGGACATGATTTTGTGTTGGGTTCCGTCCACGTGATCAATTATTAGCCAATCAACTATAGAGATCGACACGGATCAGCCCGATGTTTATTCTTGGCTTCGGACAATAACGGTATCCGTTTTCCTAGTTATACTTGCCAGCCAAATTAAAGTCTTATCCATACTAGGTTTACTAATTTTCACCATTTCACTAGATACTCCAATATGTGAATAATTAGAATAACCAGTTGGGGGAATTAGTAAACCCATCCATACCTATATCTCTATATTCAAAACAATAATTAAAGCCAAACTTCTTTTTTAAGCATATTAAAATTACCTTATAACATTTTCTTACATTCTAACCCAAAAAAAAAAAATCAAAATATCCAAAACCTAAATCTAAATTTTAACCTTATATATATTAGAATCGATTATTGATGCAGACTTATGCATCACTTAGTTACGTCCTATATAAAAAACTGGTCTATAAAATAAAGCACAATTGAGATATAACTAGTGACATAAATAAGTCTGCATCTATAGAATCGATCACAATTTCAGCACAGGTTTTTTTCGATTCTTAGCAGCTGCCCTATCTTGATTAGTGTGTCAGAGTGTATTGCGAATACAAAGTAAAATTTCTAATTATTTAATATAATTGAAATTTCACTTAGTATTCGCAATATATGAGGATACTCTCCTCATACAAATCCAGGTTGCATTTGATGCACCTCTGACACACTAATCAAGATAGAGTAGCTGTTAAAGATTGAAAAAAACCTGTGCTTACAATTTCAAAGTCTAAAAATTTTACTGACAAGTATATAAATAACAAAGCTACAGACTAACTTAAAGATAAATAAATCTGATGAGTTACTTAAGTTATGGATCAAATTTTGTATATATGTTAGAGATTATTGCTATTACCCCAAATTAAAAAATTTGACAATACTATTCGATATGAATTTTTTAATTCTTACTAACAGATATCTATTTGATTCAGATTGTTTAGTAAACGAGTAAATAGCGAAAGAAAACCTGTAAATTAATTCAGAATTATTAGATCAAATTTAATCAAACAAAAAAAGTAAATATAAGTTTATCAAGGAAAAATTAGAATATGAGCATCAAGTTTATTACTTAGTGAACCTAGCCTTTAAAAAATTTGCTCAATAATGTGTAATAAAAATGGCTTTCTAGTACTATCAGTTTTTAAACAATAACTAGAAAGCCTGCTCTCAATTATATATTGTAAATCACTGATTAAATTTTTTAAGGATTGAGTTTGATAAATAATAAACTTGATATCCAAAGATCAGATTTTCCTTAGCATAAATATATGATATAATTATGATCAGATCAAACCCTTCCAGAGCCAAGTTCAATGGAGGTGAAAATCTGTTCAATTTACAGGTTTTTTTTCTGCCGCACAAGCGTGGCTGCTTCATTATTTTTGATTTTACAGCTTTGTGGAAATAATTATTATATTGCATGAAATTTTTTTTTGTATTTATTAATCAAAAGATCAATGTAAACTAAAGAAATCAATGTATATAGAATGAATTCTGGACAAATGTACCTGATCTCGAAAAAGACTGTGCTACACTTAAGAATTTATATGAAGAAGGAATGCTGAATGTATCGTCACAGAACTTGACTATTAAGACATTTTGGGACTGCTTTTGTGATAGTTATGATGCTAATTTTAGAGGAGCAGACGGTAAAGTGCGTATACTATCAATAATTGCAGAAAAATTTATATATCAAGAAATAATGAATGAATTAACAGTAAGAAATCTTGTATTATTGTTCAAATATAAAATATAAAAGACAATGATATTAATTAAACATAACTTAGGTATCTCCTAATACTATTAATATGGCACGAAAATTTTCTCGTATTAATGGGCCTGAGTGTGCTGCATTAGAAAAGCCCACAATTACTCGTTCAAAAATGTTAGAGGTCAAAGAGAAAGAGTTCAAATTATTTTTTAACGATAAAGAAAATGTGAATATGAGCTCTTATAAAGTCAATACAAATACAAATTTACCTATTCTTTACTTGAAAGATCAAAAGAGTGTGCTTTGGGAAAAGTTTTCTGCTATTTATTCTGATGGGATGAAGCATACTTCTTTTATAGCATATCTTCAAAACAGTCGTTTTCAATATAGAGAAGATTTGGGTGGATTATGCATAATATGTAATAATTACAGATACCAACCCTTCGAAAATATAATCGATATAATTAATAAAAATATTTCTAATAAAAATTTGCAGGTAAGCCAGATAAAAAAAAATAATAATCTTATAACCTTATTAATATAAAAATTTGATTTTGTAACAATATCCCGAATACCAATATTCCGAATACCAAGATTCTGATGGTACTAAATCCTGATATACTAAATCCCGAAAGAACAAAATCCCGAAAGACTAAATCCTGAAATAAAAATTCATAATTATGAATTTTTGGGATTTTTTTTTTTGTTTTCAGGATTTAGTCTTTTGGGATTTTGTTCTTTCAGGATTTAGTATATTGAAATTTAGTACCGTCAGGATTTTGATGTTCGGGATATTGACATAAAATCTAAAATTTTTTGTAGAATAGCTTGATTCATAAAATAGAATTGCTATGCTGTCACCTAAAATGGTATTATGAAGAAGAATTGGTTGTGAACGAGAATGGTACGGCTAGTCATACAAACTGTATCAATCATTGTCTATTATTTGCCTTTGGTGAATGTAAAGAGCAACATTTTTTACAATGTCAAGAATGTGATAGATTTTTTAATCTGTTCAAAGATCTTTTAAGTAAACATGATATAACCTATCATGATGAGATCTTAGAATGCCAAAAACGATTGTCATGTTATTTGGCACATCAAACTCGTAAAAAGTACCTAAATGCTCAGTTCAATTCCACATTACGTGAGTTAGATAATAATGGTGCAGTTATCGTGGTTGATTACAAAATGTGAATTTTACCCGCAGCGGCTCGGGAAACAAAGAGTTAATTTTTTGGAAAGCATGGATGGACGCTCCATATGACCTTGGTGTTTCAAAAGGATAAGGATAATGATGAAAAATTAGATATTTAGGTTTATGACTATTGGAGTTCTGATACCAAACAAGATGCTTGGTTCACGGCGTCGTGTTTTGAGGCAGTATTCATGATAATGGATCCCAAACCACAATGGATCAAAATCATTTCAGATAATGGAGGACACTATCACAATTCGGAGTTAATGATGATTATTAGTCATTGGTATAGTTGGTATGATGTAGAAGTACGCGGGTGGATTTTTCTTGAGCCAGGAGAAGCGAAAACCACAGTTGATTCTCACCATGCAACAGCAAGTAGATTTGATATTATATAAGTACCATCAAGGAAAAACCTGTCATCGGGATTTCAATTATTATTCCGTACTGAATACAATCTATCTAATTTATTAAGAATTGTGTCCAGTACAAAATATAATTGAAATCCCGATGACAAGTTTTCCCTTGACAGTACTTATATTTTGATTTATTGTGCTCTACTAATAAGTTTGATGTTAATTATAGATTGCACATGCAATTAAGAGATATGTCAGAATTGGATGTGAACTTACCAATGGAACAAATATTGAAACAGCACTTCAAGACTTAAGCGGAACATCTGTAGCTCATATAGAACCAAATCGTAACAAAACAACAAAATCGTCAGCATTATCAGTTGAACAAGATGATATAGAAATAAATTCAGAATCATTGAAGTAAGCCTAATTATATATATCAAAATATTACTATTCTTATACTAGTCAAATTAATAAATTTAGCATACCATTTAGCATGCAAAATTTCTTAATTTTGACTAGTATCAATAACTTTATACCATATATCTGTGTATTTATTTTTATAATACGAGTTAGTTAAAACTTGGAAACCGATATCAGCAAAAAAAAAATCAAAACTATACCTGGTATTTCAAAATGGTTTGAGTGGTCTTGGCCTATAACAGACCAATTTGCAGGATATATTCGTGCTCGCTCTCTTCTTCATATAGGTGCGTAAACTGAATTCTGACCCGAGCAGATTGCTACTTTTTATAACAAACTATCTCCAACATTTTCTGAGCTATCTAAACCCAAAACTACTTGGGCGATGCCAATTTCTAAAAAATCAAGTAAGGACCACTTCTCTATTATGGTTAATTGTCTAAAATATAAAAAAAAAAAAAAAAGATATCTTATTTTATTATAAAGACACAGGGCTATTTACGAACAAAGAAACCAACAACCAATCAGGTAATGTGGATATTTTGTAGCTGATGATAATCTAGTTGGCTGAAGTCGACTAGTTGACTTCTTAGTTAGTAATTATAGATATAGCTAGCTGATTTTATAGGATGCATGCTCCCAATATTGTGATCAAGTTACATTGATCTTGGAAATAGTAACGAACAAGAAGTAAAAGGGCTTGTAATAATCTTCGCAATTATCATGTGTGGGTATTTTTGACACACTGCAGTCTAGAATGACCTAAGAGAGATCAACTAGTCAACTTTAATTGAATATTATATCAACCAAGCTAGGCTACAAACATTACGCCTCGCTAATGAATCTATCTACAAATTGATATTTATTTTTAGTTAGTAGTGATGAATTAGGTGAAATATCAAATACAATAAGAGGTAATAATAAACATACAAGTGCTGCCAAAAAGATCATTCAATTCACAGAATATGAGCTCATTAAGATGTAATGAACATATTGGATCTAATTCAATACGACGAATAATGAGGATGTTGAGTAGCTTCGGCCCCATGTGAAAAGTTAAATCAGAATTTAAGAACTCCCAGTTTTTTTTTGGTGACACACTTGTACGTCCAGACTTATGTATTTTTATAATGCATAAATCTGAACACCCTAGTATGTACAGTTAGAAGTATGAATGTAATTCCATAACTTGTTGTAATTATAACTTAACTCACCATAATTATGACAAGTTAGGGCATTGCATTCACACCTCTACGTACAGTATACCTTTCTATTCTATTTGACAGCCTTAAACATTCAACTCTCATTTTTATTTTACCACTATCATAACAATCTAAAAGATACAAGGTAATATGTTTTTATTATATCATCATATTATAATTCCATTTGGAATTACATATTTCTATATACTAAGAACTTATTTATAGTATTCAAGAATTCCCTCTTTCGCTAGAATAAGCAAGTTAAATCTAAATCAATATACCAAATTACCTACCTAGTAGAATACATAAATTGACTATAAAAAAAAAACCTGATTGAAATAACTTAACCAAAATACTAAATTAAACCTAATTAAAATATTTATATAATATGATTATTATAAGTATATTAATAATTCAGCAAAAATATGACTAGAATGAGCAAAATTAAATTTAAATCAACATACCAAGTTATTTATCTGGTGGAACATGTAAATCGACTATAGAAAAAAAGATCAGACTAAAATAACTTGACTAGAATATTTGATTAGATCCAATAAAAAATATTTATATAACCTGATTATTATAAGTATATTGATAATTTAGCAAAAACATAACTAGAATAAGCAAATTAAATCCAAATCAACATACTAAGTTACTCACTTAGTAGAACAAGTAAATCAACTACAAAAAAAAAGATCTAACTAAAATAACTCGACTAAAATAAAAAATTAGACCTAATAAAAAATATTCACATAACTCAATTATTATAAATATATTGACAATTTAGCAAAAACACAACTAGAATAAGCAAAGTCAAATCTAAATTAATATACCAAGTTACACACTTGGTAGAATATATAAATCGACTACAGAAAAAAAAACCTAATTAAAATAACTCAACCAGAATACTGAATTAAAATATTCATATAACCTGATTATTATAAGTATATTGATGATTTAGCAAAAACCTGACTAGAATAAGCAAAGTTAAATTTAAATCAATATACCAAGTTACCCACCTAGTAGAACAAGTAAATTAACTATAGAAAAAAAACCTGATTGAAATAATTCAACCAGAATACTAGATTAGACCTAGTTGAATCTAAATTAACATACTAAGTTATTTAGCCAGTAGAACATGTAAATTGACTATAGAAAAAAAACCTGACTGAAATAACTCAACCAAAATACTGGATTGGACCTAATTTGAAATATTTATATAACTTAATTATTATAAATATATTGATAATTTAGCAAAAACACAACTAAAATAAACAAAGTCGAATCTAAATTAACATACCAAGTTATTCACCTAGTAGAACAAGTAAATTGATCACAGAAAAAAAGACCTGACTAGAATAACTTAGCCAGAATAAAAAATTAAACCTAATAAAAAATATTCACATAACTCAATTATTATAAGTATATTAACAATTTAGCAAAAACATAACTAGAATGAGTAAAGTCGAATCTAAATCAATATACCAAGTTATTTACCTAGTGGAACAGGTAAATTGACCACAGAAAAAAGACCTGATTAGAATAACTCAACTGAAATACTAGATTAAACCTAATTTAAAATATTCATATAATCTAGTTATTATAAGTATATTGATAATTTAGCAATAATATGACTAGAATAAGCAAATTGAATTTAAATCAATATACCAAGCTACTTACCCAGTAGAATAAGTAAATTAATTACAGAAAAAAAATCCAACTAAATTAACTTAACTGAAATAAAGAATTAGATCTAATAAAAAATATTTATATAACTTAATTATTATCCTTTAATCTGTCTAGCAGGCAAATTTGCTTGCTTAATTTTTAAAAAATTAATTTTTTTTAATAAAATTTTAAATATTAATTTTAGCTATATATTTTCTAAGTAAAATATTTAATTTAAGATTTGTTTTATTAACTTTGTTAAGAAAATTTTTTAA